GGCACACAGCATGGAGAGAGGGAGACACAGAATCTGAAGCAGGCTCCAGGCTCTAGGCTCTGAGCTGTCAGCACAGAGCGTGACGCCAGCTCGAACTCACGGACTGTGAGATCATGACCTGAGCCAAAGTCGGATGCTTAACTGACTGAGCTACCCAGGTGCCCCCAGCTTTATTTTCTATGGTGGTATCAGACTTCTCTTTACTCATCCAGGAATGGTAATCACTGAGTCATCTTGGTTTCCTTACCTCTGTCTTATTGTTCACCAGGTCCTCAAGTATTTTCAAAAATAGCACTCAAAAATCATCCCTACTTTCTATTTCTACTGTTGCCTCTCTCATCCAAGACTTTTATTGTTTCCTCGTTGAATCTCATGCTGTATTATAAAAATCCACCCATAGGTTGCCTTGTTCTCTGAGGTGGCAGAGATGGTAAGGACATGAATAGATATGCTGAGGAACTCAGGTTCTCTGCAGAGTTCAGTTCTGAGTGGCCCAGTGTGGAGTGTCAACAAGAGAGGCCTGGAATTAGGATTCAACCAGCTGTGTCACCACTCCTCCTACATGATTTACTTTTTTCTGCTTCACACTGTGCATCTGCTGGGGATACATGAAGGTATCCCTGATTTAATGGGTGAGTAGGGCAAAGGAGTGAGGAGCTTATACTCTCAGATGCCACTCTCAATAGGGACAAAATCTGTTCAATCTCAGAGGCAGTGACAAGCTGAACTTGGCAGAGATTTGCAGTTATTTACAGTTATCTACTCTTAAGGATCCGAGTCTCATCCTTTTCATGGATCAGTAGGTAGTAAGAAAGGGGAAAAGTTAACAAAAGGAAGAACTGGGGACATTTTTAGGGCTATCATGAATGTGGAACTTAAGGAGAGGAATCACTTATAGAGAGGGTGGAGGAGGGATCTATCTGCAGTCTCTCTGCATTTCAGTTTATCCTTTGAACCGTTGGTGTGTTCATTCTCCAAAAATGCTTTAATCACTGTGTGTCATTTCTGAGGCCTTTTCCAAGGCTATTATTGCTGACAGAATGTGGTCTTGTCCACTGACTGGTCTTGTTCTACTTTTTGAACTTAATACATACAACTTACTGTTCAACTCAGAACTTCTGTGTTATTTGGACTGGTCATCTTTTCTATTTCTAGAACTTACCCACAGCCATTCCTTCTTCTCTATTATTGCTAATCTGTAACAGTTTATTCTTCCCTCCATTCTCTTCTTTCCAAATCCTAACTATTCTTCAGGGACTGATATGTGTTGGATAGCTTCATAAAGACTTTTTGTTTCATCTTGCATGTGTGTGTCTGCGCATGCGCGCGCTCACATGTGATTTTCTCCTTTCTCTTTTTAGTACTTTTGATCCCCAGTATCCATTACTATTATTATACTGAATTAAATCTGATCATATGTTGCTGTTTGATATTGTTCTTGTCTTTTAGATTGTAAGCTCCCAGAGAGCAGGAATAGTGTCTTCATTGTGTATTCTTCATGATGTCAGTTATTTCATAGATGCTCAATAAATCCTTGTGGAATGAATGACTTTGAAGCTTATGACTTAAAAGCTTTGTCTGTAAACTGGCTGGATTGAGGAGTGCAGTAAGCAGTGGTCTTAGCATTTACATCTTCTGTTACTAGGTGAGGTGAAAAGAACCGACAAGGAGGTATGCCATTTGGTCAGAGGGCTGCATTTGAGGCGTAATTTAGGAGGCACTGTCATAGAGCAGATTCTATAAATTTCTCACATAATTAGCTGGTAGCCAGTAAAGGCTTACTGTCTGGGCAAGGAACTCAGTCCTGGGTGCCAGTTAAAGCCAAAAGCATTTAGAAAGAAAATAATAAAGGAGATGAAGGAGAGGGAAAGTGGGGCAAACCACCATTTGTCTTTAAGTGATTTACTCCACTGTTTTATGGAGAAATTCTTAAAACATCTTGCATGGGCTAGCTTGCTCTGCTTTTGTATGTTTTTCCTTCTGCTTTCCTGCTTTTCTCTTTCATACTTGTTTTACTGTATGAAAACTTCTTAGTGCAGGAGCTACATCTCTTCACCCAACGTGGCTGTATAGAAATTTTGAACACACAGTTCTTTTTAAATATTTTTTAAACTTATCATCTTTCTTGTTTGGTCTTTCAGCTTTTCACTAGTTCTGTGCAGATGAATCCCACAGATTACATCAATAATACAAAAGTAAGTTTTAATTCATGTTGCTCAGGACCCTTAGCTGTAAGAATCTGAAAAGAAAAAGTCCTAGTAAGTAGAGAGCAATATCACTCCCAGTTACAAAAAACTCATTTTATATTCTTACCCTAATATGTGTGAACAAGATAGTAAAATTTTAGATGAAAAAATAGCTTTTGGTTATGGGGTGAGTCATTGCCCAATTCTTTAGGCACTTGTGTGATAAACTACCAATATGAAGTCAGCCCTCAAGGTACTGGGAGATCAACTGAACTTGGCATGTTCAGGTGTATCACTGAAATAAATAATTAAAATATTTTTTTATGTTTTATGTGCTTCAGTTTACATTCTTATTCCTTCTATGAATAGCTTCTCAGCAATTTTTATTGAAAATTTACTGGTACTGATATTTTTAAATAAGTTCCTTCTTTTTATTAGCATGCAGTAAAAGCTCAGGGATTTGAACTAATTTGTACTAATTGTACGTAAGGAAAGTTAATGAAGTGTGGATTTTGGACTATTTTTTTTTTAAGTAATGGTTTTTGTTATTAGACTTATAGGAACTCCAGTTGGGATTAGCAGATGTTACCTGAAATTCTTCAGAACTTGTTTTTAATGAGTAATAAGGACAATTTGAAGTTGTTAAGAGCAGATGATTAGAATCATTCTTTTACTTTGTTTATAGCTTATTGTCTTAAATAGGTATATGCTCTATTTATCTTGTTTTTTACCAAACTCTTCAGTCCCATTTTTTACTGAATACAAAGGCGTAAATAAGGTCCCCTGAAATTTATATAAATTCTAGATTAGCAGAATCAAAATTTAATTTGATTCTTGTTCCTTATAATCTAAAAATGAACACATATCAAGTAAATGTAAGTGATTAGAGTCAGTAGAATTTAAAATTTTTTTTTTGTTTTATTTTATATTTGAAAGAGAGAGACAGAGCACAAGTGGGAGAGGGGCTGATAGAGGGAGACACAGAATCCGAAGCAGGCTCCAGGCTTCAAGCTGCCAGCACAGAGCCCGATGGTGGGGTTCAAACTCATGAACTGCGAAATCATGACCTGAGCCAAAGTCAGATGCTTAACCAACTGAGCCACCCAGGTGCCCCAGAGAGTAGAATTTTTCTGATTAATGTCATGTGTGAGGATAGCCTGACCAGATTTGCTGTGTATTCAAATTATATATTATAGCCTGGGTAACTTAGAGTTGAAAGAATTTGTGAATTTTTGAACTAGAAAGTTGATTATACATTCAGTATTTGGATTTTTATCTGGGATTGGCGTACTTTTGTAAAGGCCATTTGGTAAATATTTTGTTTTGCAGGTCATATGTTCTCTGTCACAACTACTCAATACTGTAATTATAGTGCAACAGCAGCATCAGACAATACAGAAAAGAATGAGTGTGGCTATGCTTCAGTAAATTTTTATTTACAAAAACAGGCAGCATGCTGATATGGCATGTGGACCACAATTTGCCTGGATTTATACTGTAAGGTTCTCTGGATCATCTCAACACTGGGTTTCAGTAAATATGATACTGTTAAATGTTAGATCTTAAGGGGGAATGAACCCATATTATGTATTCATTTAGTGAATGTGCTGCACTGTTTATTGATTGCTAGACATTGAGTCATTCTTTCTTCCTGGATTATCCTCTTTATTCCAAAAACAATAGCTTAAATACAGTTCTCAGATATAGCAGTTAAACAGCAAATTGCATACAGCTCTGTAGTACTATAGAAAAATTAGAGAATAACTTTTCATTATAGTTCTAAAATCTAATTATTGTTTTCAAATAATTGGCACATTCCCTTGCTCATGACAGGTATTTTATTGACATAGATTACACACTCTTTCCTAATAAATCAGGATACTTGTACTCCTCAGTAGAGCAATCTAAGTGGCCACTACTAATGAACAAGAATTTGCATAGGACTTGAAACCCATTTGTCATCCTGGTTCTCATGTTTTAGAGTAACAACAGCATCCTTGGAAACTACTTTTTAAAAAGTAAAAAACAAAGATGGTATTTTTGCATTACTGTTTATTTGTTGTGATTGCTAAATGAGAAATATTTTTATGTTCCTTTTTCGGAAGGTTTAGTTTTATTATATGTTGGGACCATTCTTATGTCTGAATCCTGGAAACTTGTACTGCTTCATTTTGTGATGAATATCAGGAGAATTATAGGAATTAGTATGTTTTTTACACCATATGTACTGAACCAGCACGCAAGTGTCTGGGACTTACAGCTATTCAGGAAAAATTGTGAACCACTGCACCTCAGTTTGAACATCGTGGAAAAGAACATTGAAGAACTAAACAACATTAAAGGTTTAATCCCCCTTTACAATCAGATGTGAGGAGAGAAGACAATGGTTGAAAGAAGCAATTTAAATAACAGAAAAGAACTGAAAGAGTCTCAAAAAGGAAATGAAGCAATTTGACCTCAACTTTGAGGCTTCCAATTATAGAGATCTATAGTTTTTAAGGATATCATCATGTCATCCTGAGCTACTTACTCTAAATATTGTTCAGTTATGCTAAATATTCTGTTTGTGAGTGAAATGAGTAATAACATTTTTAATCAAAACTGCTTAAGATGAGTTTGTTTAAAGAATTATCTCTTAATTAGTTTGAAACCAGCCATCTTTGATTCATTCCCTTGACATTCATTCCCTTTGATTCATTTTACCCTTGACAAATTCTGTCTGTTCTGTTGAAATGTCCCCTCTTTTCATACTTACTGTCATTCTAGTTCAGGTTCTTTGTTTCATCCATTTGATGACAGCAATAGTTTTTTTAACCAGTGTTGTTACCTGTTGAGATCTCTTTCTTTAGTTCCTCTTTTCTGGTGCCCCCTGTTCCCATATATTTCAGATAACGTATTCACATACTGTTCTTTATTTTATGCTATATTTTAGGACTACATAAAATATGAAACAAGTATTTTTATATGGTTTTTTCTCTTTTAGTCTGAGAATAAAGGATTAGAAACTACCAAGAACAATGTAGTTCAGCCAGTTTCAGAAGAGGGAAGAAAATCTAAACCCAAAACAGGTAGGTATAAATGTAGTATTAGTTTTTTCCAGATTTTTAAAATTAAAAGTCTTAACATAGAAACTAATAGGAAAGTTTATTTCTGAGTATGGAAAGTCTGGCCATACTTAACAGTTGAACACAGAATGTACTGTTCTCAATTCTGTGCATAATGTATCAAGGTTTCAGCAGATAGAGAAAATTAAATTGGTGAGGTAATAGTTCTTTAAGTCTTTTTTTTTTTTTAATTTAACTTTAGGACAACTGAAAGAATTCTCATATTGTAATTGTTGAATAAAAGACTTAACCTTTCTGACTAGTACATTTTTAAATTTACTGGCATAAAGTGTCAGATTTCTTGTTTGGATATATAAGGGTAGTTGATTGCATATATGCACATCTGTTTTTATTTTTTCCACCTTCAGCTTGAACTCTGTATAAGCTGGTGATAAAAGAGCATTTTTCTAATCTTTATTATAGATAAGCAGCTTATCCAGTACACTGCCTTTCCACTTCTTGCATTCCTCGATGGGAACCCTGCTTCTACTGTTGAACAGGGGAGTACAGCATCATCAGAAGTTATGTCCTCTGTAGATAAACCTATAGAAGTTGATGAGCTTCTGGATAGCAGCCTAGATCCAGAGCCAACCCAAAGTAAGCTTGTTCGCCTGGAGCCATTGACTGAAGCCGAAGCTAGTGAAGCCACACTGTTTTATTTATGTGAACTTGCTCCTGCACCTCTGGATAGTGATATGCCACTTTTAGATAGTTAAATCCCCAAGAAGTGGACTCTACATGTATATATTCATCAAAATGATGAACTATTTATTTTAAAGTATCATTTGGTACTTTTTTTTGTAAATTGCTTTGTTTTGTTTAATCAGATACTGTGGAATCAAAAGCACCTTTTGCTTTTCTCACACACTCTTGCAAAGCTTTCAGATGTTACTCAGCTACATAGGTACACAAGATTTAATGCACATTGTTGGTATATATCTCTAAGTTGGATTCAAATGGCCATTTTTCTCCAGTTATAGTAAATTGGATTTCTTTTTTACATATATACCCATTAACCCCAGTTAAACTTTTTTGTTTGTTTTACTTGTTTGATGCTGTCTGTTTGCATTGAGTGTAAGTCACTAGAACTAATGGTAGAACTCTTAAAGCTTTGTCTGTTCCAGTTACTTTTACTAAATATTTTTCACTTGGCTTATTTTTAAAAACTGGGAACATAAAGTGCCTGTATCTTGTAAAACTTCATTTGTCTCTCTTGTTCAGAGAAGTTCATTCATGTTCAACAGGAAAGGCAAAGTATACTTGAGTGCTTGCTGTCAGATATGGCTCCAGCTTCATATACATAGAAAGAAGGGAATGGGATGGCATCAACCCGATCCATCTCGTTGGAGTAGTTTTAAGTAAAAGTTTTCTGATTTGTTTGTGTTTTTTTTGAACCATACTATTTAGTAAAATAAATATAATGAATGTTGCGTACTAGTGTCTGTTATGTGTCTTCTTTAGAGGTGACACCCACATGTAGAAATTTTTCTTTTTTATAGGAAGTAGATAGACTTAAATTGTAAACTGTCTGTTGTCCATTATTGAGTCACACCAAGATCTTTGTGCCTCATTTCAAAAGATAGGCTATTTGCAACAAGGAAGGAATATAAGGTCTCTAAACTTAATGTGTTTTAAAGTTCTTTATTAAATTATACTGGCTTGCTTTCTATATTTCTAATAAAGAACTGAGAGAAGTATGCCTCTCATTGTCCCAGATGAGGTAAGAACATTATCACTGGGTGCCACCCAAAGAAAGGCCTATCATTTTTGCCCCTAGGGAAGACAAAACAGTTAAGTCACTTTCTCCCTTTAGAACTGTCGTTCAGGAGATTAATGCAGGACCAGGACACCTCTTTTATCAAGTTGAATTCCACCTTCAGGCAGAGGGCTGGAAATAGTGCAATTTATATCTGAATATTTGATAGGGCCATTTGATTAGGAATTACAAATAATGACCTTCCTCTTGGCCATATTCTGTTGTATCTTGGAATTTCTCTTACTATGTTGTAAAAATTCAAAGGAAAACCTAGCACAGAGATAGGAAACCCTTCCTTAGCAGATCCTAAAATATTTGGCTCTGACAGTGGCATCTTTTGTCCCCAGAAATTTTTGCATAAGCTGTAGAGATCACTTTTGTAGAGGTCGTTAAGGTTGAGAACAAGAATTTAGAGACTGGGAAGGGATACAACTTTAGAGACTTTTCTTATTCCCTTACCTTCTTTAGTGTGGAATATGATGAAATTTCTTCTCTTTGGGGACATTTTGGAGCTCTAGAAGTATTCTAAAAATCTTGAAAAACTATTCTAGCACTTTTTAAGTTGAAATTAAAATTTTTCATCCTTAGTTGGAAGGAATTTAGGGTGTTGTTAATACTACCATTTAAAAATAGTCATTACTGTTTAAAAATGCAATTATGTGCTTTTTAAAATGTATCTAAAGGAATCTAAATACCGCAGTGATTTGATATCCATCATCATCTATTCTACTTCTCCCAAAGAATTTTATCCTATTTTTATCATCTGTGAGAGTCATACATTGAAGATACTGTCACACTTCTCTGTAACAAAATTTGAAATTGTTTCCTGTAACCTTAAGATTCTAAGCATTAAAGAAGTTTGTCTCCAGTTATAAATACACAGTTGATCAAAACTGTGTATAAATACATGTGGCAGAGACTGTTAAGTGAGTGCCATTTTCTCGATCATTCAGTTACATTATTTCCACCTTTGTATACAGGGTGGCTATGGAACTGAGTTCCATATAAATCAGAAGTCATGTAACAGAACTTCAGGTCTGGTCTGTGAAAACCTCCCCTGTGCAATCCTCCTTGCTCTTTTACCCCCCTCCACTAGCCTGATGCAGAGGAGTATGTGGCTTCTGAGTATACATTCAAGGAGGAAGAAATTTGGCTTCCTGAATCACTGCTTAGAAGAAAGCCACCTATCAATCTTGGACACCCATTGTAGACTCAGGTGAGTGGGGAACAAACTTTATGTTCTGCCTTTGGAACTTTTTTTTCTTTTTGGTTGATCTCTTCTTACTGTCCACTAATAAAACATCCATATTTTGGTGAACTGTTATTAAACATAAGTAAAGTTTTATCAGAAATATATTTTTATTTATTTCTGAGGGGGAGTTTTTCCCCAATTTTTTTTTTTTTTTTTTTGTATCTGGGGGTGAATATTACTAATATTAAGAACATAAGTTTTATTCCTTTTTGTTTTCATAGGTATAAAACTCTAAGAAACTTCATTTATAATACAAAAAAGTATGAGAATGGAAGAATTTTGTTGTAGCAGTGTCAATTCTCTGAATTCCTTCAGAATTACATACCAGAACTATTTTATTATGATTTATTAACTCTGGTGACTTTAGATGATCCTTCTATTTCAGTGAAAGCAAAAAAATAGAAACTACCTGAATTGTAAAAGGACCTTTTTTCCCAATGTCCTTCCTTCACACCAATACTTAAAAATTGTGTCTTTATTGGATATTCAAGAGATTTTATCCAAAGTGCCTTGGTAAGATTCAGAATGCATAAGAGGTACATATTTGTTAAATGTGGAGAGTAATCGCTAAGAGGGATGGGGGATGCCTTGATGTCCTTTTGCATCTTTTCGCACAGATCCAAATTGAGGAAGGAGTAACGTGAAAATTGAAAATCTGGAAAGTGATTCCTCTAAATACTCCCATTTACCAGAAGAAGTCTGTATACTGCCTGTAAAACAGTATGAAGACTGTGGTATAAAAGTAGGGCCAGAGGAGACAGCATAGGACTTAGAGCAGCTGAATGTTCCTTTAGGGTGGATCATGGTGTTTTTCATAGGGATGGTATACTCAGGTGATAAGTTTCAGTGTGAAAATAGTCTGCAGACTAGGAAATGGACCTAATGATACTGTGATGAACATATGTAGAATGTTACATTTAAGAATTAGAGCCTAAATGTTCATTTCAAGCACACATGAAATATTTGAGAGTTGGTTGCATATTAGACCATAAAGCAAATCAACAAATTTCATGGAACTGGTGTCAGACTGACTACAGTACAAATAAACTAGACCTTTACAGTTTTGAGGAGCACTGGCATATTTTGTAGTGACCTTCAATTTGGGATTACCATGCTGCTTCTCATGATTAGACAGAGGTTATGGGTTTGGGAGTAAGAAAGATCAGAGGTGAAGTGCCATTTTCACCACTCATCAGAATATCCTACTGGTTGTTTCTCTGGGAGAACCCTAATATGTTCATTAAAAAAGGAACAAAAGTTCTCTTTATCTTAGAACACAGAAAATCAAAGGTGGGAGAATAGAACATCTGCTCAGTAAACGGGGATGCTTTCAGAGCTGTCATAGGGCAGTACTAAGAAGTGAACTGGCCTAGTGACAAGTTTAACATAAAGGACTACAAAACAACTGACGTGTGTAAGGTAAGGTCTTTTAAAAATTGATAAATTGAAGCTAATCAAAATTAAGTACTTTTGCTGTGCAAAAGACCCTGTCAAGATGGAAAGACAAAGCTACAGACTGGGAGAAAGTATTTGCAAACCATGTATCTGATAAAGGATGAGTATTTAGAATATATGAACTCTCAAAACTCAACAAATTAAACTGTCCAATTAGAAAATTGCCAAAAGGCATGAACATTTTACTGAGGACATATTCATGGCAAATAAGCACATGAAGAGATACTCAACATCACTAGCCATTTGGGAAAGGCAAGTTAAAACGACAATTGAGATAACACAATGTTCTTATCATAACGGCTAAAATAGGAGATAGTGACAAAGGCTGGCAAGGATGCAAAGAAAATGAATTGTTCATACATCAGTGGTGTGAATATGAAATGGTACAGTGACTCTAAGTTTGGCAACTTCTTGTAAAATAATCATTTAACCCATCCACCAAGATTTCTCTCTTCATCCCTGGTTCCAAAGACCACGAATTCCCATTTCTTTATTTGCATCATTGAAAGCATGTTAATATAAATGAAATGATCCTTTGTAACCTTTTGGGATTGGCTGTTTTTACCCAGGATACCTCCCTGGAGATCCAGTCGAGTTGTTTTGTGTACCAACAGTTTACTCTTGTCTTATAGTTAGTATCCCATGATATGGATGTACCACTGTGTGTTTAAACATTCACCAGTTGAGGGACTTCTGGGTTGTTGTTAGTCTGGGCTATTGCAAATAAAGTGATAAGCATTCAGGTACAGGATTCCGTGTGAACATAAGATTTTTCTGAATAAATGCCCAAGAATTTTATAGGCATTGTCTTGCCCATAATATTGGGGGAATCAGACCATTTCACTAAACCTTGGACTAAATGGAAGAGTACTCATTTACAATTATATTCTTTTCTCCCCTCCCTCCTTGGTAAGGGACTTTAAGTAGGCTTCAGCCCCACATGGGAGCTTGAACTCATGACCCTGAGCTCAAGACCTCAGCTGAGATCAAGAGATGGACGCTTAAGTGAGACATCCAGGCGCCCCCCCCCCCCCCCCCCCCCCCCCCGTAAGAGACTTTTTTAAATACCATTTTGTGTCAGAAAGCACGAATTTGCAACTTAGGAAAAAATGCCTACAGGACACAGCAGGTGTAGAATAGCTATCTAATCAATTAAATATATTCTCCAAGTTAAACTGGTCCACCCACTAAAGGTTCTTTAGGAGAACATCACCTTAATTACCTGAGATCCAATTTCAGGTGCCACTTACAGAGGACCAAAAAAGGGTGTGATGTAACTACCA